TCCAAGACCAGATAGATTTGCTAGCAGAAGTGGTCTTGCAAAATAGGAGAGGCTTGGACCTTCTGACAGCAGAGCATGGGGGAATATGTCTTGCTTTACAGGAAAAGTGTTGTTTTTATGTTAATAAATCAGGCATAGTTCGAGACAAAATCTGAGAGCTTCAGGATCAACTACTCAAGCAGAGACAAGAACTTGCGGACGACCCCTTCTCCTTGTTGTAGGGAGGAATGTTCCCCTACCTTGTGCCCCTATTGGGACCCCTCTTTTCACTCCTACTCTTGCTCATGATAGGACCTTGCATTTTTCAAAAGCTTACAGCATTCATCAGCTCATGTTTAGATGCTTTTGCTGCAAAGCCCATTCAAATACGTTATCATTAGCTGGAAATGGCAGATCATCAAGAGTATCGTGACAGGGTTCCCTCAAATGGACCCTATCATAATGTGGCCTAATCTGATGTAGGCCCCCTGGTGAGATGGACAAGTAGTCAATGACAGGCAACTAGGACCCACATGCAGTGCCGCCTTCCACCTAAGACAGGAACAGGGCCTACTGCTGCCCTGCGATCCCAAGATGGGTAAGGTCTGGTCAATCTCATGTGAAGGAGTCCTTGACCCAAGCCAGGCATTGTCCCTGCAGGGCACTGTCAATTTCCGCTTGATGTATTTAATAAAAAGGGGGGATATGTGGGGGGACGATAGAACACTCCTGTTATATTTTCCCTTATTTGGGCAAGAAGTGCTGCAGCACCAATCCCAGCTTGCCTTGACATCTGCTTGTGGTCCTGGATCTCCACTACCAATCCACAACTAGTTCCACCCAACTATTTCCACTATACAGCTATTTAGACCCTGCTCACTTCTTCAATAAATGAGACTTGATCAGAAAGCCTGTCTTGTCTCCATCTCTTGCGTCTCTTGCCCTGTCTTGTTCATCCCCTTTCCTCCTCCAGGTCATTACCCCACGTCTCGACTTGAAGGCCAAGTCATACATATATGATTTTGCCCCTACCTTATTTGCTATCTTTTCTGCTTTCTCTCTCTTTATTAATTAATCCTTAAGTTCTGTTACTTTCCATTTAACTCTGTATTCTGATATCTGTGAACTCAGCAACTACATTGCAAACACTAATGTGTAATACTAAAACCATGCTTGAAATACCTGTCATCTTTGTCTTCTAAATGTGTACCATTTCTAATGACATATTAATTATTACTATACTCTCTTTAAAGTACTTTTTAAAAAATGGTAATAAAATCAAAGAAGATTCAAGAACAAAAATTTAAGTTTTCTTGGAAGCATGGGGTAATATTCAATCATATGTCCCATCTTGCATAACTATATCTGATAAAAATAGATAATAATCATTGTTAATCAGCTTTCTTGTTTTGAAAATCTGTAACATATGCATTGTTCAATGGTGGCCTGTTTCTATCTTTGTTTTTCTTACTCTTGTTTTTACTCTTCAAAATAAAGAAAAATGTTAATAGAAAGATCAAGAAGTGACATTTATTACAGAAATAACAGGAGTGGAATTGAAACCCAGGCCTCTCTCACTCTAAAATCCTTTCTTTTCAATATATCACACTCCCTCCTGGAATAGGTATATGTTTTCAGTGCCATTTTCCACTCAGTGTATAACCACTCATTGAGTGTTTTCTCATTGTCCGAAAGAATCAAGTGAATTAAAAGGCTGCATATATTTTCATTAGGAAAGCTTAGCTTACTTAACTGTTTGGGTCAGGTAGTCCCTTGTTACCTTCACACTTAAAAAGGATAAAGAAGAACCAAGTACTTCTGCTTTCCAATGTCTTACATCATCCTGCAAACAATTGGCAGCCAAGAGAGAGACAGCTGTCACAGTCTTCAGATCTCTCTCCCTATTTAAAGTTCAAAGAGACACTGGATAACAATAAGGAAGAGGTAAGAGTGGCTCTTATCAAGCCCCTCAACAAGAAGAATAATGGCTGACAAAGGTAAGATTTAAGGGCTCAGGTTCTCTTAGGAATAAAGGCTTCTGAGCTTTGGTTTGTTGGTGCTTCTTAGCAGTTTAATTCTGAAGAATGTAGTTTTTTGCTAAATGATCAGAAGCTGTATATTTTAGTGTGGCTACAAAAAAAGATACGATTTTAGGGGCAATGCATAGAAGTTATAAACAATTTTGAAAGGATCAAACAAAAGAACTTTATTTTGTTCATGCTCATTTTGAAAAGTGAGCTAAAAATCAGACTTCTCCAGTGTTGTGCTAATCTGGAAGGCATGAGGGGTGCTAGGTCACAATGAAGGACTACTGAGCTGTGTCAAATCCACTAGATGGTCATGAGAGTCTGGAGAAGTCCCTCTGCTTCTTAGAGACTGTGCTCTGACCATGAAATGAGCCATTTCTAATATACTTTAAATATACCCTAGTATATTTTTCTGATTTTAAAACAATCTTCACATCTAGATATTTATTTAAAATGATTGACTCTGATGTGATAAAGTATACTGAATATATCAGTGTTTGAGAAATATTTTGAAAATAGGTTCACAATGGGCTTGGGCTGTGACTCTGTGTTTGATCAAGCACAACAGAGAGCGAGAGTGAGAGCTAGAGCGAGAGAGAGAGAGAGAGAGAGAGAGAGAGAGAGAGAGAGAGAGAGAGAGAGAGATTCAGGAACTTTTGTTTTCAATCCTGACAGCAACCTTGTGAGATAAACATATTACCATTGTCTTCATTTTATAGATGAGAAAACAGTGAAATTTTGCTTTCCATGATCAGCAGAGTATATTGACACCAGGTTTTGAACTTGGACAGTCTTGTTCCACTGTGCCATGTCCTTAGGAATATTTCCAATTGTAGCTACGTTGATATATTCAGAACTGAACAAAGAGAGGAGCATTTTGAAATTACTTCTCATATTTATAGAAGAATTCTATTCTCATTTTCATGGTTAATGTAAGTGATGCAATTAAAAGATATCTGATTCTTATATACTACTCTTTACAACAGATAAGTAAAACTCAAAATATGAGTGCTAAAAACATTAATGCAGGGCTGGGGAGATGGCTCAGTAGAATAAGCACTTGCCTGGCAAGTGCAAGGGCCTGAGTTCAATCCCCAGTATTGCCCCCAAAAAAAAAACAAAAACAAAAAAACAAACCATTAAGGCAGTTATATTTTGAGTGCTAAAATACATACCAGTTGCACTGTTTTACAAAGAATACTAAATAATGTGATAGTTACTTTTAAAACTTTAAGTAAATTTTATTAAAATATACCTCATTAAACTTTATTAAAATATACTTTATAAAATATTTATAAATTGATATTTCAATTGAAATATCAATATTAAATTTCAAGTTGTTTGAAATTGGCAAAAATACTAAGTCATTTACTTGAATAGTTAAAAAACATCACTGATATGTACTTTCTCTGTAATGCATCTTAATTAATAAAAAGATATTTGCCAAAATGAGAGTAAGTGGAAAGTTATAATGTTTGCTTTACCATTAAAGAAATAGCACAGGGTGGGTAAAGAGGACATGTTTCATCTAGTGATTAATTTCTTGTTCAAGGTCACAGGAAGGTGGAGAGGCAAGGAAAGTCCACTGTGTTTGTGAGTTAAAAGCTACTTCAACATTCTTATAAAAATAGATCTAAAGTATTAAAATTCATTTACATTTTCAGAAAATTTGCTTTTATAAGACTATCTTCTAGGGGCTGGAGAGATGGCTCAGTGGTCTAAAGCACCTACTTGGAACAAGCTTGGCAAAGCACAGGGACCGCGGTTCGATCCCCCAGCACCACATGCCAGCCAGCCCCGCCCCCTGGTGGGCTGAGCTGGCCACACACACACACACACATACACACACTAAATAAAAATGTAATAAATAAATAATTAAAAAAAAGACTATCTTCTAATTATAGAAATGTCTCATCTCCTAATGACTTTAATAGCATTTTAAAAATCCTTCACATTTTTTAAATGATGGCAATTGTGAAGAGAATAATTTGCTGAGAACATGTGTTCTCTTTCTTGGCTAATGGCATAAGCTCTAATTGTACTTTCCAATAAAAATATATCTGAGTCCTTAACACAGAGACATTAATTCCACAGGAGGTCTTCCTGTGCTGCTTCTGAGTTCTTAGTGTGGTGGATCTATGGATGTGTTTACCTGTAGGTATCCTTGAAAGAGCAAGATTACGGTGTAGTGAGCTTTTAAAAATTAGATATTTTGGGTTTCCGTGGCTGCAGAACTAGTGGTCTGCTGGGTGGCGCCTCCCGTGGGCCCTGCCAAGCATCTGCTGCACTGCACACCGGGAAGCACCTCCCGCAGGGATTGAATATCAATGCAAGTTTGAAAAAGGTGCTTTTTTTCTCCCAAGCCATAGCATCTCAGCAATACAGAAATACTACTTTGGGAAGTAGTCTTCAGGAAAGCCTGGAAGAGCTCATACAATCTCAACAGATCACCCCCGAATTTGCCCTACAAGTTCTACTTCAGTTCAATAAGGCTATAAATTCTGCACTGGTTCAGAGGGTCAGAGTAGAGTCAATGTTAGAGAACTTCTCATGTACTCCTGTTTCCAACAGATAAGCAAAAATCAAAATATGAGTGTTAAAAACATTAATGCAGTTATATTTTGAGTGCCAAAATATATACCAATTGAACTGTTTTACAAGGAACACACATAGAGAGAAACTGTACATGTTTAAAACTGTACAGGATCTCTCTAAACACATACAGGTTCTGCTATGATGTGTAGACTTTTGTACTGAATGACATAGAATTCAGAGATGTGACAGAACTTACTAAAGTGGATGACACTAACCCTAGCCCTAACCCTAATCCTCTAACCCTAACACTCTAACCCTAATCATAACCCTAAGCCTAACCCTAATGCTAACCTTAACCCTAACCCTCTAACCCTAACCCTGACCCTCTAACCTTAACCCTAACCCTCTAACCCTAACCCTGACCCTCTAACCTTAACCCTAACCCTAACCCTGACACTAAACCATAATCCTAATCCTAACCCCAACCCAACCCCAACCCCAACCCTAACCTTAACCCTAACCCTAACCCCAACCCCAACCCCAACCCCAACCCCAACCCTAACCCTAACCATTAAGCAATATATATTGATCTAGCTGAGTTGTTGGTGATAGTTTCAAGGTTGCATAGATGTTTCCTGGTAACCTACACCTGCTGCTCTTTAATGTGAGTCTAGTCGAGCAGGATGAAGAGCCAATGCTCCAAGCTGCCAGCTGGGATGGAGCTTTAAGATAGAGGTTATGACTTCCTGGGGCTTGAAAGCGTACATCAAAGCTGAGCACCAGACCCCCTAAAACATTAGATACCATCTCAATAGCGTAAAGCAGATTAGTTTTTCTGCATATCCTCTCTGCATATGGCAGAGGTAAATGTAGGCCACCCACCTAGCTCAGCTCACAGTAGTCGCCTACTTCCCACAATTCTTGGTTATTCCTCCTCAAGTCACTCCTCCTCTGAATAAAACTGGGTAGGCCCCAGCCCAGCCTCTTTGTTACAGAAAGCCATCTTCATGGCTGGACTTAGGGCCACTTGGCTCCCCAATAATCATAAAAATGTTTTAGTGTCTTTACTTTTGCCATGGGTTGCACTGGGAGTGGTATATTGGAATTAACTTGGTGGGATTCCAATAACTTATCTTTGGGATTACAAATACTAACTTCTTGGACTGAGACAGAAACCAGGAAGGGACTCCTACAATAGGCTCTCAACTTGGCCTGATCGCACGACTTTCTCAACACAATGACGACTAACCAAAATAACTTGCAGGTGACCACTGGACCTTGTGTGACCAATTTAAAGCTAAGCAGAGCATTTTACTTATTATAGTGCTCAGAGTCAAGTAGCAAATAGGAATCTCTTTGTCAAGGGTAACAATGGGGCAAGTTCAGTCTTTATCCTCAGAAGACAAAAAATTTAGTTTATTGATTATGAAACTGTTAAAAGATGCACACATTAAGGTTTTATCTATGCAAGTTTTTAGATCACTCCATGAAATAGCTACATTCTCTCCTTCTTTTCCCAAAGGCAGTACACTGGATCTGAGAATTTGGGATGAAATAGGTGAAAGCTTTCCTATAGCCAAAACTCAAAAAAGAAAAATTCAACCACAAACTATAGCCATGTATAACCTGGTGAAAGGAATGCTCTCATCCTTGAGGTGTAACAGCACAGGAAGAAATGCAGATCAGCAACAGTTTACCATTACCATTACAGAAGGCTCTACTGGTGCTAAAGAAATGCCTATGAATAAGGTAATTGATGGGAAAAGGACTCTGATGTTACCATAACAAAAGAGTCAGATTACTCCCAGGGTCACATGCCTCCAAATAGGCTGCTGGAGAAAAAGGAAGCTTGTTTAAAAAGTGCAGATAGTCCAAAAAATTTATTTTTGCAAGATATTCATAAAGAGATGAAAAACTTTTCTAATTTATGCACACAGCTTCATTCTCCACACCTAACTCGAAAAATAAGACCTCAGAGACTGTGCTTCCCACAGTTTCTTTCTCCCCTATGTCACAAAGTCACTTTAGTAACAGTCCCCCTCATTTTCCACTTGTGAAAAAGCCAAAGTACAAGGAGAGGAAAGCTTTGAACTTTCTGCTCTTATAAGACTTATGGGAGTGCATACTAGACAACGGAACCCAAGCTCCCCACACTCTTACTTGTTTGGATAACATAATTCAAGCCTTCTAAATGGCACCAAGTGATGTAACACATCTTTCTCGCATGTTCTCACAATTCCTACATTTTGAATCGGAGTTAAGACTACTCATATCAGAACAGACATAGAGTAATCAAAATCACGAAGATGAAAATCTTAAAGCTATCACTCATGAAATGTTCAGGCCAATATGCTGACTTAAAAGCTCAGGCCCAGTCTCCACTTCTTCTTTTCATTCAATGTAAAGAGCTGCTAAGCTATGCACCATGTGTGGATTTCTGTCCCAAAGGATGGTATACTTAATAAATACTTACCCACGTACTTCAGGGTCCCAGAGAAACTTATACCCAGTTTGTAACAAGACTGAAAGAGGCTATAATTAAGCAGATTCCTCACAGCATTGCAGCTAAAATGCTTGTTTGTCAATTAGCATATGAGAATGCCAATGATAAATGTAAAAGAGCCTTAGCCCCAGTATGTCATATCAAAAAATTTATCTGCTTATATTTGTACATGCCAAAATATTGGTTCTACTGCCTACATTTCTGCTCTCATGGCACAGGCTATATCTCCACACTTTGCTAATAAATTTGATATGGGGTTAAATGTTTAAAGTGGATATAGTGAAGATCATGGCATACAATCGCAAAAATACTGGCTCCAATACTACAGAATGAATTGGAAGGAAAAGTGGCCTTTTTATGCCATTGTCTGCTGTCATTCATCACTTTTTGAAGAGACACATAGAAGAGACTTTTTAAAATTTATTCTAGCATCACAGAAATGACCACACTGTGCTGTACTATCATTATTCTGGTGGGAAAATGCTTACAGCTCTATCCTTTTACATTGCCTGTACTATACAGCATGAAGAAACATAACTTTTTTAAAATGACAAATCAAACATTTTTGCCCTCCTGAGAACAGTCTTTAATAAACTCATTTTAAAACTTTAAAAAGATACTTTCATAAGTTGCTTTTCTTTTTTGGTGGAACCAGGGATTGAATTCAGGTCCTTGTGCTTGTCAAGCAAGCACTTATTCCACTGAGCCATCTCCCCGGCCCCCACCCCATAAGTTGCTTTTTACAGATGTATATAAATATGAGGTACTTCCATGTGGGTGACAGAATATTGCTGACCATCGATAAAATTCAGTGGTAATTATTATAAAAGCTTAAAGGAATAGAATATCTTTTTCTAATTGAGAAAGGTTATGTAACATATGGTGCTTTTCTTTTCCTGTGAAATTTCACATTAAAGTCAGCCACTGAGAACAAGAGCAACTCTTTATGTTGTGATTTATTTACTTCAGTAGGAATTACCTCAGAGTCATATTGAGTTGTTTTAATGTAAACAACTACTCCATGCATCATTGCACAAATGCATGAATGTATTTGGTACACTGTAAATACAGTTAGAATTTACAAAGCTTTGCATATATTGTGCAATATCATCGTTGCCATTCCAAGAGGGGAGTATCACAAGTTTCATTATCCATATTTTACAAACACAGAAGCTCAAGATTTGAATTGTCCAAATTCACATAATTATAAAAGGATGATATTTTGAAAGTAGGCCTTTTACTCTAGTTACCTAATGCTTGTTACCCAGTTACTGGAATCTGTTTTGATAAAAAGAAAAATAACTATGTATGGATGTGAGTAGAGGTTATAGTTTTCCTTAATATTTCCAGAGTTCTCTCAATTTGATTCAGAAGATTTGTTACCCAAATGACCAACTGATCTGCTCTCCTTGCTTGTTTTTAAGCAGAGCATACATTATCACACCTGGTGGTTCCTGTTCTTCTCCTGATTGGCTGGATTGTGGGCTGCATCATAGTGGTATATGTTGTCTTCTCTTAAAAAGGTAAGAGTTTTAATAATTGAATATGTTTATTTGTGGTATAACTTGGCCCAGAAAATTGCTCTCTATTTTACTAATGACATATTTTGTCATTTAGGCAAGAAGACTTTAGACTTACATCATTTAGAAGAAAAAAACATGAACATGACTGATTTTTGAATGAATATTGTTTAATAATGAAATGTTTGACATCACTGTATAAGACTCGATTGTAAACTGATGCTGTCATGTACCTAAGATTGTCTTCAAGAACTTGTTTGAAATTATAGGTATAAAAAAGAAGTATTGAAAAATATAAATGAACATCTCTATACTCAGAGTAGGAAAAATGTTCCCAATTATGTTTAAAATGTATAAATAGGAGAAACCATGCAAAATGTAATTATATTAGAAAATGTTTATTTTCTCATCCCAGAAAAACTATAAAAACTAGACTAGAGAGAATAGAAAATTTACAGAAACCAAAATATAAATGTAAACTTTTGTTATGCTCTTATTGTCTTGCTTTTGATATGACAAATATGATTTAATCTACACCAAGGAACTATTACTCAGTTATCACATGAAAGTAATAAAGATATTTGACAATATACGTGTAAATCAGTCTGTGGAGAAATAAACACTTTTATGTACTGTCTTTGAAAATCCAAAACAAATTCGGAATATCACAACATATTTTTTTGTGAGGGGGAAGTCTTGCTATATTGTCCAGCGTGGTTCTGTGTCCCGAACCAGCGGGTCAGTCAATGAAGGTCACCTGGGGGAGGAGCGGGGAATTGAAGAGGGGGACAAAGGACAGGAGATGCGAGAAATAGAGGCAAGACAAAGATTCTGATCAAGCCTCATTTATTTAGGGGAGGTGTTAGGTATATATAGTGGAGGCATAGGGAAATGACATCGGCGGGTAAAAGGCGGGAGTAACTAGGCAACCGGGCTATGACAGGAAGTCCCACCTCCGGAGTATAGCAGGAGACTTATGGGAAATAGGCGGGGTGAGAAGGACCATAAACTTAACTCAGCAGGGGAATAGAATGGATACCAGTTAATGGCCTCCAACAGTTCTGAATTCCTGGGCTCAAGTGGTTCTCCTGCTTCAGGCTTCCCAGCACCTGGTACCCACGGAACTTGCCACTGTACTGAGGTAGGTACAATATTTTTGGGGGTATTTGATAATCAGAATCTGCCAAAATTACATATTCACTTAACCTTTGATCTACCTATCAACCTTTTAAGAATGTCCAATCTCCACAGACACACTGACAAAATTGGTATACACACAAGATTACTCATTCTGGCATGATTTGATATTGCAAAAACCTGGAAACAAACCAAATACAGGTTCATGTGGGTACTTAGACTAAACTGTTGTATAGATACACAATGTAGTGCTTATGCAGCTAGAGAAAGAAATGAAGAAAATCTATATATTGATATAATATGATCTCCAGGAAACTTTTAATGGAAAAAGTCAATTATAGAATAGTGTTTGCTAACTTTTGTGTACAAATGAGGGGTGGTAGCAATACATACACACATTGGTTATATTAAGATACTAAAACAGGTAAAAAATGGAGGCTAGATAACCACAAATGTGCCTAGCTTTATAGTTTTTATTTGTGGAGTCATGTAAATATTTATATATGAAATGTTATTCTCTAAAATTTAAAACAAATTAAAACAAATTTAATGCCATATCAAGTTGTTGGCATGACCACAAAGAAAAACTAATCATAAAAATGACTGTAAAGTACAATACTTGATTGTATATATCTGTTATGGGTTAAGAAACTTAAAACCACATCAAATTGTCTTTTGTTAGTAGTAATATTTATATTTTTGATTTGAAAACCAGAAAGCCTAAATTTCAAATAAATTCCTGGTAATCTTAAAATTGAATAGCAAACATCCCAATCTCACTATTTATTTTCTTTCTCCTAAAACAATAATTGTGTATCCTACCCCTGTCTGCAGAAGATGCCTGGCAGGGATGAATATACCTTGTCTTAAGTACTGAATCGCTGCCCTAGACTGTAGCAAGAAATACACATGTGTTTGCAGTTATTTATTGGTTAGATCAGTTTTATGAGACCTTGTCCATCAATCAATTTAATTGCACATTGTGTGCAGTTTGATAGAATACAGTAGAAAATATATAGGGCCACCTGTGAAGTAGTTTTGTCAAAATACATATACCTAAGGTGAAACAAGTTTCTGGATCATTCTACAAGAATATTTGAATAAACATTGCAAAAAAAAAATTCTCCTAAGTTTAGAGGGTGGAAAAATTTAAAGGATACATAATCTGATTTTCCCAATAAATAGTTAGATTTAAAAGATAGGGCAGTGAAGGAAAAACTTAGAGAATTAAAAGATATCAAGCAAACTCAATGCATGGACCAAATATAAAACACCAACTTTTATGTGATAATGTTCTTAAGGAATTGTTATTCATTTTCTCACTATATTAATGGTAATTGATAACAGTAAAGAAAATTCTTCTTTAAAAACACATAGTGAGGCAGGGAGATAGCTCAGTCATGTAAGCACCTGCCTAGCAAGTGCAAAGTCATGAGTTCGATCCCTGGTCAAAACAAAACAAAATAAAACAAAACAACATACTGAAGTATCTATTGTTAAGATGATGGGAATTTTCTTATATCATTCCTATAAAAATCAACTAAATCAGAGGATATGAATAGGTAAAAGGTTGATATTTTAAAATCTGGGTGATAATTTCATGAGGATTTATTATGCTCTTTGACCTACTCTATTTATTATATTCATATGACCTTTAGTGCATATGCAAACATTTTATAACTAGCTAGCTTTTCTTTTCTTCCAATAGCTCTGTGTTATGAATTACAACCAATGCAAACAATTAAATAAATTAGAAGAAAATAACATAAAATGGAACTCCACTGTATACACGAGCCTCATCCTTAAAGATTCTGGGCCAAGTACTTGTACTTTAACAAATCCTTTAGGAACATGCTAAAATTTGAGAGCCATTGCTTGAGAGAGTTTGGTTTCAGACTTAAGAATAGCAGTCTACAGCCAGAAAGATAGCTCATTGGTCTAAAACATCTGCTTAGGCAAGCCTGGGAAGGCACGGGGAACCAAGGTTTGATCCCTGGCACCACATGCTGCCCCAGCCCTGCCCTGAGGGTTGGGCTGAGTTGGGGGATGGGAAGAATAGCCTTCTATTACCTGGCATGTTCCTGCAATCCCAGCTACTACACAGCCTGAATCTGTACAGCATAGCAAGATCTCCCTGCCCCAATAAGTTGTTATTCTGAAATGATAGCACCATAACACCACATCATAGAGAACTTAAGACAAATTGGGTCTCATTCTGATTCAAAAGGTGGGGGATTGAGAACTTAATTTCTAATAAATTTTATTTATTTATTTATTTTTAAAATTTATTTATTTTATTTATGTGTGTGTGTGTGTGTGTGTGTGTGGCCAGCTCAGCACACCTGGGGGCGGGGCTGGCTGGCATGTGGTGCTGGGGGATTGAACAGCAGTCCATGTGCTTTGCTAAGCTTGTTCTAAGTAGGTGCTTTAGACCACTGAGCCATCTCACCAGTCCTCTAATAAATTTTAGATGATTCTGTTGGCCCAGGGTCTCTACTTTAAGAGTCACTGCTATCAAAGAAACTTGATTTCTTTCTCTTAAATATATTATCCTTTTACTTTTAATTAATTTTTCTATGGATAATGATTTCCCTATGTAAAGAATGGTTTTACTTTACTCTCTGATTCCCATCTTTACACTTGTATTTATTTTTTATTTTAAAGAGAAAAAAGATAAACAATGAAACCAAGTGTCAAAACAGGTCCTCACCAACTTTAAAGTACTAGGGCCAAAACAGCCCCTCTATTTTTCTAATTTTTAATCTGCTAATTTTAGTTGTTAAACATCTAGAAGAAAAACTTAATGATATTATTATCCTGTAACAGAGACAGTTGAGCTGAACATCACTATCTGTCTGAATATCAAAAGCCTTAGACATAATATGGAACTATTTTCCAATGATCATGGATATTCTAAAATTTAAATCCTTATTGAATGTGCCACACTTTCTTTATCTAGTCATTCACTGATAGTTACTTAGATTAATTTTATTGCAAATAGTGCTGCAATGACCATGTGAGTAAAAACTTCTGTCTGAAATACTTTTTAGACACATACACAGAAACTTAATTAGTGAATCACATAGTAGTTTCATTTTTAAGATTTTGAAGAAGGTCTTTATTATCTTCTATAGTGGTAGGTGATTTTTAAATTACATTTTCCACTGATATTGTTGACACTACTAGTCAGGTCCTGGCATTAGTTTGTGATACAGGTCAGGCTGGAAAACAAAGATTCTGGGTACTTATGCCCCATGTTTGTCAGTATCACTTTAATTCCTTAGTCTGGAGTAGTATTTTCCAAGTTTAACTTTTCCAGGGCTATAGGTTACAACATTTATTTTCTTTTCTTTGTTTCTTTTTAAAACTGTCTGCAAACATTTACTGTGAAACACAAAAAGCTTCATCTTTCCTATAACCCTTCATATTCTACCTCTGATGAACAATTTTATTTCAAGGGCTTCCTGTCCTTTTCTCCAGCACTTTAAATCTCATGGTAACACTTTTAAAGCAGTAATGGAAATGAATTTTTATATAAGTGCTTTAAAACTATGTTTCCACGTCTGACTCAATCATTTTCTCAGTGAACAAAGAGAGCTTAGTACAATGAAATGAACAAAGCATTAGAAGGCATATTGTTTTATCCTAACTTTGGGGCTCTTGGAGTAGTTAATCTTTCACTATTTTTTCATATCATTGCTATGAGGGGTGCCATGTTTTTAAACCTGCCTGGTTTGGAATAACGGAGCTAGTTAATGAAAATACAGATTTTCAAGTTTCTTCTCCAGGATATTTTATTACAGTCAGTCTTAAGAGGGCCTCTTCAAAACTTCAATTCCCAAGAGTTTTTCATTATTACAGAAGTTTTGAAAATACACTTGTAGTCTCTGTGTCCATGTGTATGTATATGCATATGTGTAGGCATTATACACTGTTAGATATACACATTAACTCATAACAGTTTCTATTAGTAAACAATAACCATTCTTTGTTTA